GGTGCTTCTTTATTGACTTAGAGAGAGAAAAGCGCACGTTCAAAACTTGTAAGAATGCGCAAATCACGAATTAGTTGTATCTTTACTAAGCCGATTTGTCACTCGGCCGCGTCGTCGGTCGTGGCAAATTGCGCGCGTATTTGCAGTTCGATCAAGCTCGGTCAGTTAGCGGTCGAATTTACTGGTTCTAAATCAAATCGTGATTCGCGTTGCGTTTACTTGGGAGGGGGGGGGGTTTGTGTGATCCCGATCGCGGGCGATGCGCGACGCATTGCCGCCGCAATCGGTCACACGACAATTCGCCGTGGCCGTCTGGGGAATCCATTGACACACGTGATTTGTCGCAATTTGCCACACGGCTATATGGGAAAGCATTTCGTAAGCCAGGCTTTTGTGACCCGAGCAACGGCCAGGTGACTCTTTACCCCTCGGGGCGTTTTGCGTTGCGAGTCGGCTCGTGCTAGCGGAGGCATCACAAAGGTAATAAATTTCGTGGTTATATCCCGCGAATGGAGACGTCGCGTCGTTTTTATCTCTCGTCGTTCTCTCTCTGTCGTAACTTCGAGGAAACTGCGAGGAATAATTTATATATCAAAAGCGCGGCTATTTTTCGGCAAACAGCGCCGCAATATAAGCTACTGATATCATTTTCGTTAACCCGGATCCCCGGTGCATCGTCGATGCGCGTCAAAATTAACAAATTATACAATACAACAATCGCGTTTATCCAAATTTATCATCCGAAGGAGAATATATCCGTCCGTGTCAATACTCTCGTGGTTGATTGCCGCGCGATGACGCCAACCAATTTTATGATATATACGCGCCGGACAGTTTTGCGGTCGCGACAAGTGATCGATGGTGGTTGGCCTCATTATTAGGCCAACGCCGATGACGAGCCGATACGATCATCGTTACTCCCTCTGGCCTTCAGAAACGGGAGGAAAATCCGTAATATAACACGTAGTGTAGTAAAGTACACGGAAATCCGCGCTGTATATATATTCCGCTCTCGGAGGCGACAGGCGGTGTCCAGCTGAGAATAATCGGGCGCGTCGTCGTTTGGTAGCCGCGTTTTTCATCGGAGCCTATTCAAGTGTTGGCAGTTTTTCACGCGGCGGGCGACAAATATCTCCCCACCAAAATCCTCTTTGGATGATGAGTCCCCACGTGGTCCGGGATGTCACGCCGGGATGTCGGCATGATCCTCGCCGGCATTCACCGTGCCGATCCCGTCCCGGTGCGATGCTACTCAAAGTAACGTGTGTTGCAACGCAACAACTCGCGGAGTGTGATTTTTTCCGAATCCATCGCGAGCGACGCGCGATCGAGAGGTAATCTCGTAAGGGAAAAGTGAGTTCGCTCCGGCAAAATTTCGCCGCGTCAATTTGCCCGCGCGCGCGCAGAAGTGATCTAATTTCCCGCGGGTAATTTAGACGCGCGTTTCGATAGCGGACCGATGTGACGTCATTAAAATTTCGGCTTTTCCAATGTGATTTCACGTGAGGGCGTCGCTCCAACAACGTTTTCGACCGATCGCTCGTAAAACGCGAGGTGGAATCACCCGGGGCGTGCTCGCGACCGCAGAAATTCGCGCGTTACGTCAGCGTTAACGTCGATATCGCGGTAATCCAGGTTAAACCTCGACTCGAGAGCTCGCTTCTCGATAGGTGACGCGAATTCATCGTTTACACATTCCGTGTATATATGTATATATATATACAGGCTCTGTTTGGTGACCGGCTTGACTCCGCAGAATCGATCTCGATTGCGCGAGTGCGACGCGCCGAAATAGTGAAATCGACATTTTCTCTCTCACTGAAATTCCCCACGTGACGTAACGGGCGATCGCGTTTGTATGTGATTCTGGCAATTGGACCGTTTGCATCGATCAAAACGGAAGCACCAGAATCGCGCGCAATCGAAGCAGAAATTCGCGCACGCCGAAGTGTCATCGACTCACCGAAACGGTGTTCGTATAACCGTCATATCAATCATGGATCGTATATTATCGGCGCGGTTATAACGGAAAACCGCGAGAGAGAAATTCGTAACGGAACGACGTTGCTCGGAGAGTCTCGTTACTTGCGGACCGGCCGGCCGGTCGTAAGTCGTACGATTTTACAATACACGGACTGAGATGACACGCCGAGGCGGATGACTCGTAGCTATGTCCACGGCGATCATTGGGTGAGTTACGGCTAGGTTTGTTGTCACACGTTGACAAGTTTCGCGTTGCCTCCGGGATATCTTTTGGAATCCGATCCGATCCGGAGAGAAACGAATCGGTAACGAAGCGAACGCGTAGAGAATCGTTAATTTATTTTATTTTATTTTATTTTTTTTAATCTGATCTTAGTCTCGGCGTGCTAAATCACGTGTGCGCGTTGCTGTTGTTACATACATAAAAATAAAACTCGGAGAAACCGCGGATTTCCATTTTTAGAATATCACACGTGAAATCACCGTCTTGCTATTTCATCGCATTGATTTTGTTTTTACAAGAAAAATAACACGATGATGCGTTGGCAGTTGTTTTTGTAGTTCCGTGTGTGTGTATCTTTTTTTTTTTTTAAACCTCGCAGCTATCAAGAGATATTAGTGCAAGACGTAAGTAACGAACATTAACTGGATGCTGCGTCACGGACGTGCGCGTGACGTTCTCTCGTCGCGTGTGTGTCGGTGTTTGTCACGACACGAAACGTTCGCACGACGTCCCGGAATTTCACGACTCTTTGGAATTCGTGACGCGGCCACGTGTGTACGTATATATACCGCCGTGTACACGCCGCGGTCCCCGGCTCGCATCCACGCGACGGCACGCAATAATATTCAGCATCGACGTCTCGGCTCGTCGTCCGCGTCGACGCACGCGATAGCAAGTCTCGCCTATCAGGTGACCCGAATTAATTGCTCCAATTTGCGTCATGTCTGAATTATTCGAATAATTCGCTTTTGAGAGGAAATAAGAGTCGACGCAAAATAAAATTCCAAGTCATAAATTAACATCTGAAATGTGATTCGCTCGGCAAACGACAAGTATCATTTGATCTCGTCGCGAGTAACGAGCATAATCTCCGCGCTAGAATTCTTCTCGTCCTCGGCACTGTTCCCCGTACCGATGACACGTTTCACCCGCGTCCGTGAGTATCTCACGGACGACTGTCTCTCTCTCTCTTTCTCTCTTTTTCTCTCGACGCGCGCTCGGGCATTTTTTCTCCTTATGTAAAACGGCAGCCGGGAGAATCCGAATGTTAACGTTAACTCCCCGGCCTTTCGAGATGCGCGATTACCTTCGTCGCGGAAACACCGCGTATATTATCGCGCGTGATCCGAGGTGATCCACGGCCGTTGATGAAACGGCCTAGCAAAAAGGCTGTCAGCGGGATGTCGATGTGACTAAGTTTGCAATTATGTAAACCGGCATCCCGGTGAGTGGAAAATACTCGTACACCTTGGTTTAGAGGCGGTGGTGGTCTCTCTTCTCGCCAATGTAAAAAAAAAAAAAAATTGAAAAATCGATATTGACGCTTCTGACGTAAATTAGATACTTCGGTATGTGGCACGAAGATACGTTCCTCAAGCGCGGCTCCTCTTAACATTACAAAGTAAGGTACGTGTCACGTACTCGGAGAGACACAAAATGCAAACGCTTCTCATACGCGCGGAATTACGAATGTATAAATGCACTTTTTTTTTATCAAACTGATAAACACACACCTGATATAAATTAATAGTCTTGTTTACAAAGTGATAAAATTTTTTTTTCTCAATCTTATCCGCCTTCGTTATTGAACGTGGGCGGCCAGATAAAGTCGCAACCTCGTCGACGGGAATCAAACTTGTCCTCAATTTCCATTGAGTGATCCCATCTTTCGGATATTTTTTTTTTTTTTTTTCAAAAGTTGTTTTACGTGCGCGGAAGTCTCTCGGTTTAATAAAGCATAAATCGCGTTTCTTCGCGCGCGCGCGCGCGCACACACACGTCCGGCAACAAACGTCGAATCCAGTTGTGCATTTGCATCGAGTCGCCGCGCCGCGCTGCCGCAGTCGCGCCAGTGCAATTAAACCTCGAAACCCGAGTCGCGCGCGGCTGTGCGCGCTTACGACCTGATATATATCGCGCGGAGAGCGCGATGATGAATGCGCGCGGCAAAAGACCCGCGCGGCGAAATCCGTATCGTGAACTTATAGCGCCGCATCCCTCCTCGTCGGTCGTAGAATTGTTCTACACGCGAAAGAGAGAGAGAGGACAGCGAGAAATAATTTTTGCGCGAAGATCGACACTTCTGATATCCTTCCGCGAAAAAGAACAAACGCCGCGGAATTGGCGCTTTTTTTTTTTTTTAGCTTGCGGAAACGCAATTGTGACCGGAGGTAGGAGAATAAAATTAAATTAAATTAAAAAAAAAAGTTTAAATCTTGCTGCGGTTTTCCTGCGAGAATTTATTTGACTTAAAAAGGAATATAAAATAAATAGAGAGATATAAAGGTAAATCTTGCCGTGTGGTTTTTCTCCGCGAGAAGTTATTTGACAAAGAGAGATATAAAATAAAATGAATATTTCGAGAGAGAGAAAATTGCGGAACAACGTTTTGTGCGTTCGAAGAGAAGGAAGTTGGTGAGGGATGAGGCCTCGAAAAAGAAAGGCGCATTTGATCCAATTCCGAGCCAATAACCCAGTCGAATTAAAGCGAACGAAAGCTCTCTCCCCTGTATAACGTCTCTCTGCTCACCTGTGTGTTCTGTAACACGAGATCCATTCGCATTGCGCAACCGCTTGCGGCCCGGGCTCGCCGCACGTAGCTCGCACGTAACCGGGTTATTATTTACAAGCCGCGGCGCGCCGCGTCTCGCTATACTCTTGATTTCTACGATTCCTCCCGCCGTATATATCCCTTTCGCCGCGCACTATATAGCTAGCAAACATCGATTGATTTTAATTACACGAAGGCAAAATTCCCTCGAACTAACGAGGATATGTTTGTTGTTTTTTTCAGGTTACCACAGCTTGCCGTCTTAGCGAAGATTTTGTGCCTCCTGATGGTGAGTACGTCTTTTTATAATTATCGATTACGATAGTAACAAATTTAAGTTTCTGTTTGTTTTCATGTCAAGTAATCGCGAACATTTATAACGTGGCCGCGAGACGGAATCTGTTTGCATTCCCTGTAATTGAACGTTACGTGCAAAGTGGCCGCACAATTGGAACACTTCCCAGTACCTAATTGTAGTCTCTCTCTCTCTCTCTCTCTTTTCTAAGAAAATAAGTACAGATAAGATATATATATATGACGTTGTGCTTACAATTAGTTATCTAGGATTTGTTTTCGTTGTGCGCGATTAAATTCACTAGATTTTGGAACACAACATGTCGTGTATCATCGCTAGAGATCGATCTTGAAGGTGTATATAAGGAAAGACCAACAGCGGCGCGTTTATCGCGTTGTAATTGGTTCGTAATCTTATCTTAGAACGTGTCCGACATTTGTGGCATGAACCAATTGCATAAAGCTAATCTGATGATCAGGCCGCCGGCCTAGTTTCGCGGCGGGTAACGAGCGGCATAAAGTTTCGTACATACGAGAGCTCGCGGGCTGCAGTTCCGCTGAAGCCACAAAATTGCCTTCTTTGTTACCCGCGAATATATATGCAAAGGATATGTATGTATGTATGTATGTACGTACATACGTATATATATATATATATACATATATATATTGCGGACCGCAATCGCGCGAGGGTGACTAGGTCAGATCTGAGATATCCCCGGCACGAAGAGGTCGAGACCTGAGAGTATCGCGTGCTGAAACTCGTGCCAAGACTCGAGTAAATCGACGATTACGTCGGCACGCACCTCACCTGCCATAGATTAATGATCGGCGCTTCCACTCCTACGCGTTTTACAACACTGACAATTTATATGGCCGAGACCGGCTCGCTGCCGGCTTTGAGGCTCGACTTAACTCATTGCGGCGGTACGTTCAATTCCCCGCTGTGGCCGCCGCAAGAACGCTATACGTTTTGACGTCGATGGAATTTTTTAAGCACCCAATGACCGGTGTTTCATTGCGGAACGCCGCTAGTCGCCATCGCATTTTGATTAACTGCGCGCGCGCTCGTATCGACCTGCTCCTTTTTTCTCTTCCTTCTCGTCTTTTTTTTTCTGGGTTGTTTTTTTTTTTTTTTTTTTTTTTTTTTTTTTTTTTTTTTTCGAGTCATTTTTAAACGTCGCGACGCATTTAANTTTTTTTTTTTTTTTTTTTTTTTTTTTTTTTACTTTTATTTTTTCGAGTCATTTTTAAACGTCGCGACGCATTTAATCACACTTGGGCGATCGAGTAAATTGTTAAGCCAGTTTCGGCAATTAAGGCATTCACCGACACTTTGATTTATTCGACTATTAAGCTGCGCTTATGCGCGCTCTTTTGATCTCTTGTAATGTATTAAAAAAAATAAAAATAAAAAATGATTTGTCATTAACAAATTGATTTTCTATTTCGAACGCACGTCGATCGTACGGTTAATAAATCACGTCGGTGTGTGTCGTAAAATTTAGACATCGCGCATGACGTGTGTTATTTATGACGCTTGCGAAATTGATGGAGATCTATGCGCGCGACTTCGCGAAAATGATAAGAACTGATCCCCCCACACGACGGTCTCATTGCGCGGAGAGACTCGAATCGTATTTAAATGAGATTTATGTGTCCCCGATACCGGTCTTGAAGCGCGGCGCGCAGTAAACGGTTGGCCGGTCCAATAAATAATTAAATGGGTGGTCGGTTGAATCGCATGCGATAAATTTAGACGTCGCATGGTTGAGGAATAACTGCCCGGTAAATCGCGACGAGCATTAATACGTTCTTTCTCTCTTCCTCTCTCTCTCTCTCTCTGTCTCTCTCGCCGACTGTCGCCTTGACGATCACCGTCCGCTAGGTGAGAATTTAATGAATGGCCGATACATAAAATTGCAAAAGCTATTCTCATCGACAATTGTCATTATTTGTTTGCTTCTTTACGGTCTGGAAGTACCGCGTCGCGATTAAACGATAATGCGAATATCGCGCTGATGACGCGCGAATCAATTATCGAGTCAATGTTTTTTCTCACTCCGCCGCATCTTCAGGATCACGCGCGTGTGTGATGTAGCTATGCAAAAAAAAATTTTTTTCGCATTATTCGCGCCGCGAACGCACTCGTCGCTACTCGTCGCGAGTGTATCCTGCCACTTAACTTTGTATGTTAAACAATACAAATACGACGCGCGTTGACGACAATAATTTAGATGTTTACCGAAATGATAATTTAGAAGAACATATAACGTCAAAAGATTTGACATCAAATCCAATGCCAATATAATATGTGTATTATACATGCAGATTTATGCGTCATTCATGCGTTACAATCGTTCGTTCGTTCGTTCGTTCGTTCGTTCGTTCATACCGCGAGTAGTTTCTTGTCAGTTTCCATATTTGTCAAATTAGTGAGCATTGCAACGGACATCGTGACATTGTCGGCGCCACTTTTGATATAAACGAAACGCCAGTTTCGCCGACTATTAATGGATGGCTCGTGTTCACTCGTTAACGAGGTCTCTCTCCTGCCATTCAGAGCGTGCACCATCTTCGTGTGTGCGCGCGGGGTCCGACACGACGCGCATCTTTATCCGCCGCGAAGGATCCGAATCAACGAATGACTCGATGTTGTGTGATATGCGAACCGATCGTAAAAACCGACCGTGGAAAGGATTTTTTTCGACGGATTCTTTAACGACTCTCATTTCGGTCGTCGCTCTGAAAACAAGGCGCGCGAAATTCTTATCCCGCCAACTCTGGCTTTCTGTTAATCGAGAAATCGGCACAACCTCCCCGAGGAACGACAACAAAGCGCGAGAATCTAATACTTCGAATCGAAACTGCTCTTCTTTCATTACTGTCTCTCTCTCTCTTTCTTTCTCTCTCTCTCTCTCATATTGTTTTTATTTATTTTTCGAATAAACGAATACAGTAATACCGGGCCGTCGTCTTTCTTTCTCGATCCAAACGTATTTGAGGTCGCGCGGACAATCTCGTTTTCTCAAAATTATTCTCTCGGTTATTATCTCTCGGTTATTATCTCTCTCAACAATAAACATATAAATTGCACGTTTTAATACTTTGATACGTGTTTCCGGCGTGTGTTTCAACTGTTTATTGAAAATCGCTGTATACAAACTTTTCGAACGGGACCCCGATATATTATTTTAACCGTTATCTGAATAATTCATCAAATTGTCGGATATAAAACTACGCTCTCTCTCTCTCTTTCTCTTTCTCTTTTGCGAGACGGAACTAACGCGGATCATAAAACGGGCATCTTGAATACGGTTCTCTTATAAATCGTAAAATATGTCACTGATTTTGATTTTACAACGGGACGGAAGTTGCTGCTATCACCTAAATTTTAAATCACTTTATTTTTCAAAATTCTTCTATATTTGTTTATTATATTGGGGTCAAAATTATACTTGCGCAATTTTGGTAAAAAAAAACGGACTCCTCAATTTAGCGAAGTACAAACAGCGACTACTTCACAATTGACAGCGTGTGGGACAGCGGAATTTGTTGGAATATACAATGTGGCTCTTTTGTAAAATTTGCAGGTGGTGATGTGCGGGGCGGTGCCGGCGATGGTGCGCTCCGTGAGTCTCTACTCGACTTGCAGCAGCGGCAATGTTACCGTAACACATCGCTCGATCGTAGCCGCGGGACGCACCGAACTCAATGCACCCTACCGTAAGTAAGACCTAATTCATATATATACCTCTTTACCGCGCGCGCTTAAACAATTTTTTACTTTGTTTCCTCTCTTGAGAGGCGAGCGACGCGCCATTTTCCGAAGTGCCGCTAATGTAACAGGAACTTCCACGCAGCCCGAGAGCCCGGGGCGCTCTTTTCATTAACTTCCATATATATAGGATCCGCCACTCTCTCTCTCGCGAAAGCGCTCTCTTTTGTGGCGGTTTTTCCCTTTCACGACGAGTCCGCGAAATTTGCGGGAATTTTTCGCTCACGATAATCCCGGGACGAAACGAGCTGTCCGCCCTACGCGCGGCGCGAGTACGCGAGGCGGTTCCTCTTGAGACGATTGCCGACGAGGAAGGGGACGAAAGGAAGGTTCAGAAGGAGGGAAGAAGGCTCGCTTGTGCAAACAGAGGAGCCAGTTTTCGCGCCGCACGCTGCGCGCCGCGTCTGCACCTCCCCGAGATCCATCACTTTCGCGTACGTACCTCCACCTCCTCCTCCTCCCATCATACCTGCCCCCTTTTACCTCCTCCTGGCTCTTTCTTGCCTTTTGCCTCCACCTTTTCCCTCTGTGTTACTCTGCTCTCTCACCTCTCACTGCGCTCAACCGCCGACAACGAGGCGCTCTCCCGACCGAGGCGATTACTCAAAGCTCCTCTCTCGCGCGCGCGAAGCGGAACGGCGCGCGTATCCGGGGGATTGAGACACTGTGAGAGCGTCCTTGAGAAACTGTGTGCCACAGACTCTTCGAGGAAGAAGACGCGCATCGGAGAGAACGAGTCTTCGGGAGAGTTTGATTTGTGTTTCTCGAATTACAATTTTCGTTCCACACGATTCGCGATAGATCGCGCGCAAAATTCCCGACTTAAGCAATTCCCAACTCGAAAGCAAATTTCTTATTACCAACGCTGCACACAGACACGGACACGCGCATGTGTAGCAATGTTTCCGATGAATTCTAATGAATAATTTTATTACACGCCGATATAGAGAGCGATCGCGCAGATAAAATAGTATCGCGTAATTATACGCATTCATGATTTTGTTTTTTTTTTTTTTGGAATATGAGATTATTGATCCAATATCGATGAGTGATATCGCGTTACATGTGTTTTTTTAATGTATTCAGAGCTGTAATTGAACTGGAATCGCTAATGGTAAACAGGCGTGGAAAAAATACTACGCTACGTTGAGAAGAAATACGTTCCGGAATGATAAGTCACGAGTATGCGTCAGAAATAACGCGATAATTACTATCATCCACAATCAAGGTAAATAATAATTATCGACTTTTCGTTGTACCCTCGCGTGCCCCCTCCGAGTGCAAACACAGACGCGATTGGCGGTGACACGCGATGCTTATATACTTACTTACGTGACGACGACGCATACTTAAACGACCCCAACATCCCGCGCCACTTGGCGATCACCGGATGTCCTTCGGATGTCTGGCGCAATCCCGCGCGAATTTCGACGCGAGAACGAGGAAAAGACAGGATCTGTATAAAAAAGATAACACGCGTGTACAAACAGGGAATTGTGCGCGGGGATTCCGTCCGAACCGGAATTTAATTATTTCAGTCGCGAGCTCCTCTCTTTCTCCCTTTCTCTCTCTCTTTTTCTTCTCTCTCTCTCTCTGTCTCTCTCTCTATCTGTTATTACCGCGTCAGTCTGATAAACCAGGCATCACCTGTCGCGCACCTTTGATCCATCCCGGGATACCTCGCGCGTTGCACATCCCCCGTGTCCGTCCTGATGATGTTCCGTCTACTGTGCATCGTCGGAGGAGAGGACGATCCCTCGGCGCAACGGCCAATCGTGCGTTTAGGTGTTAATGACAGGGTCGCTATTATACGCGCGCGCTCATAACAAGAGAGAGAGAGCCGCGCGTCTCTCCCCCTTTCTCGTGCTTTTTCCCTTTTGACTTTTTCTTGCGCTTTACACGCTCGGTACCGGCCGTATTCTCCCTCGCGCGCGTTTTGTATTATAGCTTTCATAACGCCGACGCCGCGAAATTGTAGCGTCCCAGTGGTTCTCGTGCTCAAGATCTTCGCGCCAAGAGATCGGATTGTTTTCACATCTAATAGCAGCATCGATGCTTTTTGCGCGTGATTGTGCGAATATTTTGTTTGTTTGTGTTTTTCTTTTTTTCTTTCTTTATTTTTGAAGAAGTAACGAAATTTCCAAGTCCATACAATTCCAAGACTTATTTCGGAATCGAAACAAAGGAAGATACAAAAAGCAAGGTTTAGCCAATTCGTTTGTTTCAACGTGATAGAAAAAATGAGCGAGTAGTTGCGAACCCGTAACGAGCGGCGAATTGGTTTCTATATCGCGGGGAGCACGTAGAAGTAATATATGGGATCCATTCTTCTCTCCCTCTATCTCGCTCTTTTCCTCTTACGCGCGCGGGCCCATCCTACCAGTTATTATCCGGGGTAATCGTGCCTAAAAGCCGGTGCCCGCTTTTGATTAAAATTGGCTTTTAATTCATTTGGCAGCCTCTAATCTCGCGGCGGCTCCGATCAGAGAGAACCAGAGCGAGAGAACGACGAGCCGGGGAGGACGGGGAAGGGAGGGAGGGAGGGGCGGGAAGTTGAGGGAAGAGAAGACAGAGGTTTGAAGCGAAAAATTTAGTGGCTTCCTCTCTTCATTCCTCGTACGCGCCGCGCCGAGCTCGCGAGTGCGCCATGAATAAATTCCGATCTGGCATCTTTCGCCAAGATATATTACGCCGATCGATTGCGGATAAGTCTCTCGTGACGGAATACGACGTGGTACGACGTGGTTTCTTCCATGTAAATTTTTTTTCTTAAATTTTGCATCTCGCAAAACTATCTTGCAAAGAATTTAGACACGTAGAAATTATGAAACGAGCAACACAAATAAATTTTTTGGTTTGTCATTATCTTTTCATCGAGTATCTTCTTATCTCGAATCTTCGATTCGAAAGTTCGAGATTTTTTATTTACAACTCTGAATCGCGGAATTGAAGAATTTCCGCGCACACAAGGAAGAGAATATAAATTTGTCGCGTATTTCTCTCAATAAGCTTTCTATATATTTCACGAAGCTCTGGGCTCCGAAGTGGCTTCAGTTGGAATCATTTCGTTTATCGTGTTGTGGACTTCAGACATCTCGGGTGAGAGAAGATTCATTGGCCGAAGAGATGTCCGTCAAATGGACGATTGAAATCAATGCGCCTGTCTCTCGAAACTCTCGGTGCGTCTCTCGGCAACTTGCTAACAAACGCGTCAGCACTCGAATGGCGCGCCCGGTTTCTCTCGTTTCCTTTCTTTGATAACGATAACCATCATTTCGAGACGAAGTGACAGAGTTTCGTCGCGATTGCTTCGGTCGCCGACGCCACCGCCGCCGCCGTCGCCGCCGCCGCCGTCGACGACGACGACGACGACGACAACGGCGACGAGGCACCGGAAATGTGAAAGTTCGGTAATGGGTAACTGGAGCGAGCAAATACGGTATAGAGGACTGTGTGAGAGAGAGAGACACACTAACGTTGCGCGCTGCGCCTTCGGATTGTTATCATCGTATCTTTTTCGGTCATTGTGCCGCGGATATTACGCATGCCTAAGATTCGAGTGTCACAAACCGGAAGAAAGAGAATATCTCGATTCTCTTGCTCGAACAGATTCCGACGACTTGTTTGCAACAGTCGCGATATCTGTATTATCATGTAACGCGTATTCCTGTTCTTTCTTTTGTTTATTATTATTATCGATCGAACGATTCAATTCTGATCAAAATTCCACGTTTCTTGTATAATTCATACGGTGTTTGTTCCGATAAAGTTTGCATTACAAAAAGAGCGTCGGACAAATGTTCCAAATTAAGTTTTAATTATCGATATGAAAAAATTATCAATTTAACAAAACATATGTTTATTGTTAAACAATTGTAAAAGGATTTTACAAGGATTTATCTCTTCTTTTTGCGCGTAATAACAAAAACTAATTTCAAAAATTTAAATATATAATTTTAGCAATTAATTACCGACTGATTGATTGCGACCGATCGGTTGGAAAGATTGTGATTTTTCTGATCGAATATCTTCGATTCATTGAAATTACTAAATGCAGCATCCGCATCGGCATTTATGTGATTGATGAAGCTGTTGAAAAAAATGATTTATGTTCTTTGCTTTTCGAGATACATCTTGTCATTTTATAATGTTATTTTTATTGATACTGATTAAAATTACAAGAGTACGTAAGTATGTACTACTTAAAGCAATTGTTGTTGAGATATTTTGATCAATGTAATTCGCGATCTCTCCGTATATAAGATATTAACTCAGATCCGGTTTATAAAACATGTGTGAATTTATATTAAAACGATTTTTTTTTACGATATATTAAATAGTCTTGTCTTTTTACCAACGCGTTGTCAGAATCGGCGTCCCTTTGGGAGGTAGAGTCAATTACTAAAACGTAAATGGCGCAATTAATTGGTGCATATTGCAGTCCGCGCGTATAATAGGCCAGGGAGACGACAGTTCGAAATTAAGATCTCTCTCTTTTTTTTTCTCTCTCTCTCTCTCTCTTTCACTTTTTTCGTTTACTACGACCTGCGCGAGGCGATGAGAAAAGGAAACGTCAGCGGGAGGACAATAAAGGAAGAAAAAGGAAAAAGAAACAGTGAAAAGAAGAGCTTTACGATGCAGTTCGAGAACATTCTTGATTTCGTTGTTGGAGGGACATCGGACGAAAACCACTTGAATTTAACGAGGCTCCGGCAAATGGGTCATCCCTGCAGACTCGTCTTCTTTATTTTCTCTATACCACTGTGAAGCTCATGTAGCCGCTCTAGTAGCCCACGGACAAACATTCGATCTCGAGATTGCGTCTGTCGTCGCAAAGTTTTCGAGAAAACGTTTGCGATCACATCTAGACAAACCTATCGATGAAGAAACTTTTTTGCCTCATACCCGACATATGTCGGATTCAAGTATCCGTCGGGTTTTATTAAAAAAAAAAAAATTACATATTTCACTATCGCAAAATTGACATTTTAAATGGAGAAGAAATCAAGTTAGAATCAGTTCTGATCCAGTTTCGAATGCTCTAATGCGACAATAAATACACATCTTCTGTGAATATTTCTATTGCCGGAAATGAAAACAAAAAAAAAAAAAAAACCGTCCATCGCACACCTGTATCTGACCCGATCCCCCTTTCCATCATTCGGCGGACAAAGGGTGTCTCGGCTTGACGGAAATTTCGTAACACACCAGGTAAGAAGGAAGGGTAGAGAGAAGAGAACGACGATCTCTTCTCTCTCGACAGCGCGCGAGAAAGAAAGAACGACGCCTGCACCGGCTACAGTGCAACATGCACTTCGGGGTCGAGGCACGACAGGATCCGCTAAGTGGCAAAGCACACACCGGACGGTCTGTGCCTCCTTCATTAGCACCAACTAGCCTCGGCGGCAGGTTTAGTCGAGTCTTTTCTTCTTTTCTCGGTGCCGAAGAGAGCGCGCCCGGTGCGGAGAGTGGGGTTCCCGACGTCGTTGTAGGTACAACTCGCGCCATAAACCTCGACGAGGTCTCTTCTCGGAAATATGCCAGCGCGCATACCGGCAAAGCACAAAACGGTTCGCTTTGTGCATCCTGTCGCTTGTCCTCCGAGATCGTAGCAGCGCGCTCCGCGACGCTAGGAAATATTGCAAGGGTTTTTCTCTCTCTCCCCGAGAGAGAAGAGTCGTCCTTCCAAGTTATTCTTACATTTACAATGCGTATTATTTCGCGTCAAGTTATTTTCCTCGAGCCTGTTAGCGACACGTTCCGCCCGGCGATATACTCACGTCGCGATGAGTGTAATAACCGCGCGACGCACAATTAAATCCCTCGTGGCGCATTTATTGACGTTTATTGTTATAAACGGATCAGCGTCGAAATTGTACAACAATTCGATGTTGTTAACACACATTTAAAATGTTAAAGCATGTTCTATATAAAAAAGGGCACCGAGAAGTGCGCGTTTTGGAGCCGAATGTATCGCATCTATTGTTGCTTCTTTTTTGCGTTGCCGATTGGTTGGTTGGTTGATCGAGTCGAATCGAATCGGTAAGATCGAGAGAGTAAATAATGAAAAGCGATATTGAGACAGTTCGTCGTA